AAATGTGTGGTGGAGAATTTTACTGCAGCAAACAATGTTTTGAAATAATGGATGACAAACAGGGGCTAAGTCATATTTCAACATGTATATCAACAATTTTCCATATTTTGTGACCTAATTAAGTGTGCAAAACACACTTATCAGTCACATCCATACGTTAGCTCTTACACCTTTGAACAAATCGTTACAAGAGCGTGACCTTCTCCAACATTGGAGAAAACGATCATGAGCACTTCGATGATCAAGTCAATCAACACATACTTACTGGCCTTATACACATATATACTTGTGACCGTTCATCCCACACCCAAATATATGAGTTACTAATTTGATGTTGGAATGTTTATGGCCATATCCCCCCATCGTCGTAGAAGTTCATATGCTTATAACGATTTGTCCAAATGTTCAAGAGCCTTGCGTATAAATGTGAGTGAAGTTGAAATCTATTTGTCACTTCACCAGGTCAAAAATCAAGGCCAACACTATATAAACCTTGAAGAACCTTTACGAACAGGCTACATAGAGCTTGATAAGAGGGGGCACACTTTCAAGACACTTTCAATAAATAAATGTCGAATAATGCTACGGTGTCGAAAAGTTTGACAGAAAAATTGACATAATGTTAGATGACATTCTATCATTGTAATATTTAAAATAAAGTTAATTTTTTCTTCCAATCATTTTCTCTCACAACTTTATGTATCACTATATCTATCAACTCTTTCTGGCAAAGTGACAATCCATAAATGTCTCTATCGGCATGCATACATCTCTATACATCAAACAACTTATACCTTTATGTATGTTTATTGTTTTATTAATAATTGTAATAATTTAAAATTAAATACTACTCAATAAAACAAAAATAATGTTTAATAAAATGTATAATATTACGGCATGCAAGTTTATTTTTCTATGTTTTTTGACATCAGAACTTTATCTGTTTGTTCACGACTCATAAAAAAAATAAAATATATGGTGCAAATGTAATTCAACATCGTGTATCAAACATTGATTAAATTTATTTTATAAATTGTATTTGATATTTCACATACAAGTCCAATAAATGGTGTCAAACATTACCATTTGGGTGGTTCGTGATTGCCTTTTTATGACAAATCCAGCCACTAGCCACCGACAATTTATACCACTCACATGAGATAATGAATAGCCTTTTTTGTTTTCCACTTTGTATGCACAACATCGACCGGTGGCAGTGGCACAGCCAGATTTTCATGTAGGCGTGAAAAAAATATTTAATGGACCAAAAAAAAAAAAATTATATGTTAAAAAAATTCAAAAACTTCTACATGAAGTTAACAAAAAATTCAAAATATTACGGGACCTATAGCTCTCAGCTCCGTCAATGAGGTGGACTTTTGACAAGCTTTTGCATTGGACGAGAAGAAAACAAAGTTAGGTCCAATGTGTTTGTGTGAACAAATAAGTGACTTTAAGATGAAATCCTATATAGTGGGTAATCGATTGATTTTATTATTTGGATTATGTCACTTTACTAGAAAAAATTGATAGATACAGTGACGATGAAGTGGTGACAGAAGACAATTTGATGAAAAATTTGACCGTATTTTAACCAGTTCAATATAGAATGTCACGTGTCATCATGTCAACTTTTCTGACAATGTAGCATGACTGTTAATATTTTGATCGTTAAAATATCAATTTCACTTCATTTCATTAGTCATCCCACCCTATCACTTATCCCAGCACTTTCTATTCCTCTAGTTCAGTTTTGCCCGAGTCCAAACACATTGGTCCTAATCCTAACCTCGATCAATCCACCCCAAC